GGGATTGTACTAAGTTACCCAATGGCCTTGCTATCTCTGATGTCTGATTCTGTTTAGAGTGGGATTAACTGTGTATAAATCACTCCCACTCTTGTGTAGTGCTTGGGCTTCTCAGTGCATTTTTCAGTGTGTTTTCATTAGTAAGTAATAGATTAACTAAGCCAAGAATTATTTGTCTTTATAGGTGACATCAAGTTTAAAAAAATTCTGTTGCATTTGTCTTTTCCTATGATAGGAAGATGGGTTACTCAATATGGAAAAACTGAGCTGTGCTGATAAAGAGTAGGGAAATGTTCCTCTTGCTTTTGGTCACATCATACATGCCTGGTTGCGCTGGCCTGAGCACTAGGGAGAAGAATATGCTCAGCTGGATGGAAATGAGAAGGTAGTCAGGGATGAAGTATTAGGTAGATTTTTTTTTTTTTTTTTTTTTTTTTTTTTTTATGGGCTTTCTGCATTTATGTGCAAACACCCAAAGAGTCTGGGCAATGGCTAATGCCTCCAGGTGGTCCTGTGGTTTTGGCAATGCTAAGGAGAGGCCCAGGTTTGGGCATGTTCTTGGTATTGGATAGTAGGTCAGGAGACCTCAGGCATGTGAAGCTTTTGAGAAGCTGGTTACCAAAGATGGGCAGCAGAAGAGATGCTAGTAGTGTGGATGCCTCTGGCTGTCGGCAGTGCTGGCTGCCGCAAAGGCTTGTGCTTCTGGGTCAGAGCCCAGCTTGTGATTTAGAAAGTGGTCATCCAGAGAATAAATGGTGGTGGTGTGCCCTAGGAGAAGACACTTCTGTGGCCCCTTATTTTCCACTGTGAGTGTAGGTGTATTCATACAGAGGAAGATGTAAGTATGTCAGCAGTGGTATTCTTCCAGACTTTTTTTTTTTTTTTCTCTCTCTTTATGTTGCCAGAAATTGCATGGAGTCTCTAGTTCTTTTCTGTAACCTCATAAAGTTACAACAAATTTTTGATGTATTTTTGGGAGGGGAAGGGGAAATGACAACATGAATTGTGCTTTGCTGCAGAAGAGCATTGTCTGAGATGGAGGCTTCTCAGGGTGTTCTGAAAGATGTGCAAGATTTTTGACACCTAAATTAATAGAATTCGTCACTTACCAGTAAAGGTTAACTGTCACTGGCATGAATAGTGTGCATAGTGTATTGTTTTATTGTAAACTTGTAGTTTTACTTAGTAAAACTAAGGCTGTTTTACTGTTGCATCACTGAATCTTTGGTCATTCAAGGAATTAACTGTGATGTTGTTTGAAAGGCCTTGCTCCTCTTTTAATGCAATTTAACGAAAGGAAAAAAATATGTCAGTATTGTTGTTTACTGTGGTTTGCACAAATCTCACTGTAAATCAGTGGGTAACATTATCCTAATCTGTTTCCTGTGTTTAAACCTAAAGATTGTATTGTGTATTAAAACACAGTTTCAATGGAATTATTGAGGTTGAAGATTACCACCACTTCAGTGTTTCTTGTTCTAACTAGATAGGTTTACCACCAACCTAAAGATGTTTTCAGTGGCTTGTATTCCTGAAAGCTATTTCTTAACATTAAGCTGAAGGAGGATGAGATAGAGAACTAGCTATTTAAATTTTGGAGCTAATGTTTAAAAGCATGTGATTAGCGTAGCTTTTAGAATCCCTGGAGTTAAGCTCTTCTCTGGTGCTAACTTGCTGCAGTGACAAAATGACAGCGCTCAGTATTTATTATCACATTTGTTCTGAACACGGAGAAATGCCACTATTAGCAGAGATTGCTTCTTGTTAATACCTGTGATATATTGCAGGAATACAGTTTTGAAGTGCCTTAATGCTCCCTAGTGAATTTCTATTAGTTGTTTCCTATCTTGTAAAACAGAAGTGTATTAATGACACTTCCTTTATCCCCCTCTATGGCAAATGAACAGTTGTCATAGAGCTCTGCTGAATCAGGATGCTGACCTCTTTTTGCATGTTCCAATAATTACACTGTTTGAGAGGTGACTTACTCATTTAAACAGTGCCAAGAAAAGGCAGCCCTCACCACTTTGTGGGTTTTTATCTCTACAGCTGAAGGATTATGGGCATTATGATACACAAGCTGTAATCTTAATGTTTGTGTTTAACTATCTCTTATGAAAAAAAAAAATACAGATGTGACACACACTAAACTTGGGAATTCTGGTTTTGTGTGCTTGTGCATGCTTTTTTAATTATGCTGAGGACTTCAGTTTCCCATTCAGTGTATAAAACGCACTTACGCAAGAGGTGAAGTATCCTGTGGGAAAAATAAGTTGGCTTCTAATAGAAACACAGCTCACCTCCCTTCTTCCTTCCTCAAAAGGGGAAAAAGTAGCGTATTAGGAGTGCTTGTAGATCTTGTTAATTAGGTTCCTCACAGAGGAGAGTGCAGCTTTGCCGCTGTTCTGTGCACATACCTACACGGAGGTGTCATCTCTCTCTTAGCCCTGTAGTTGAGTACTTTATTTTTCATGGGAGCTATAACAAATCTTTTGTTTGTGGGAGCCAAAAATGCGGAGAGGGTGGTAAGGGGAAAGACAGTCTATAGCACACAATTCTGTGGCAATCTATGTGAGGAAAGATTTCTTATTTTCAGTTTCCCATGCACAGGATTTCTTTATATTTTGTTAACTGATGTGATTAAACTATATACTTTTTTTTTAGTCAAATATGTTATGTTTTAAAATAAAAAAGTTTTTATTGTTAAGTTTTGGATTTTGTGGGATACTGTATGATGTTTCTCAACTTTTAAAATTCCTTTAAATTGTGGTTTTGTTTTGGGTTTCCCAAAAGTGTTAAGAAGAGTTTGGGCTTTTGTCTTTTTTTTTTTTTTTTTTCCCCTGGCCTGGTATGTAAAGGCCAGATAAGTGTAATGGTATTTGTCTTGTCTGTACCCTGGCACTGCTGATCTTTGCAATGCTCGTTGTCCTTAGTGTTGCTAGAGAATGATTTAGGAGATTATTGGGCTCTTGCTGAGGTTCAGGCTCTTTTCCAGTGCAGGTTATGACAGCTGTTGTGCAATTTAAACACTTTCTCCAAAGTTTGAGTAGGTGTAGCAGAAATAAAGTGGTATGCTTCTCTAAGAGCAATTCCTTCATTTTGATTGTTCAAAACTTGCTTTTTAAAATTTTTTGTTACTAATTTGCAAATACTCCATTCAGCCCAGGAAGAAGGTAAGAAATTGTCATTTAAGACAGGGAGTAAAAAGCTTCTGCGATTTCTTCTTTTTTTTTTTTTTTGTCTTTTCCTTTTGCATGCTAAGGGATTAGACAAAATGCCACAAGCCATTCTGCTTGAGATGAAAAGCAAGAACTTAGAATGAAACCCCTTGTTCATATACCTGAAAGCAGTCGGGAATCTGATATGACTTCAGAATGACTGTTTAATTAGATTTAGAGTCATTTAATTAGATTTAATGATATTTTAACAGCCTACAGAATTACCCCATCCAGTTTACCGACTGCAGGTGTGTGTTCTGTGGGAAATATTTGTGTGTATGTAGTATATGGGATTATTTTGTTTGTTTGGGTTTTTTTTAAGAAATGTGCTTGTGTTAGTCTTGAATGGCTGTCAGATAAATACAGGGTTGAACTAAATGACGTGTTTACTTAGCACTAATTGCTACTCCTAAATGTTCCTTCGTATTGTATTTTGTGGAAGCAGTCATACATATTCTACCAAGCATATACTGCATAGCTGCATTTTAAAACGTGTAGTAGAGTGATCATGTATAACATAGATATTTTCTTCATAATAATGATTTTCTTTTATGAAACAATTGAATCTCACTTATTAAACTGTAATCTACTGTTTCTGAAGAGTGATGTGAAACATTAGTGACCCTGCATGACCTATTTGAATTTATTCTCCATTCCTCATTTCAGTTATTTATTTATCTGGCTAAACTTGTGATATTTTTTCTCCTTTTTTTCTAGGGTGGAGGGAGGAAGTTTATACAGCTGAACATCCTTTACTTTAAACTGTTCCTTCAGAAGGAATTTGTATGGCAGCTAAAACTTGTAGATGAGAGTGACTGGCTATTCCAGTGAGCATACTGTAAAATTAGAAATCTGGAACATTTTTGCATAGATGGCTTTGGCCAGTTCAGGTGTATGTTGTTCTTTCATTATGGTTTTCTGCCGTGCTCTAGGAAAAAACACATTGCCATGCTACTTCAACATGCTGTTCACTGTTACGGTTGTCTGGTATATCGAAGCTTTCTGTAGGAGACTTTGCCCTGGGCACTGACTCCCTTGCTCCCCCGTGAGAGCTTGCAGCTTGTCTGCAATGTTAGTTGTATATGTTTGTGCAACTGCTGCTTTTCTTCACTTGAAAAGAAGTTGGAACACGACTGTGATAGTTCACTGTCAAATTAAAACCAGCGATGACTTCAAGAATACACATACAGCTTCTGATGGAGAAGAGTATAAAACAGTTCTTCTAGTGATAACCTCATTCTTGCTCATATGGTTCTATGTGCTATGTTGTGTTGAGCTGTCCTAGTATGTGTCATTCATGGTTTAAATGTAATTTTGACTTTGGTTAGTTGTTAGACTTGTACATACAATAGTGGTGGTACTTCTGCTTCCCAGTATAGACCCACGGTTGTAGGATAGTGAAGTTTTAATTAATGATTTTACATACTTATTTCTGCTTTTCACACTTTAGAAATGGCTGCCCTGATGGTAATGTTAAAATAGGTGGTGTATGAAGTGCGTGTATGAATGTGTTGGTGATCTACTTATGTTGAGAGGTAGCTCGTACAATATGATACACACTTGAGTTTTTGGTAAGGATTTGTTCTGTTATGCTGTGGTCAGATTTAGGCTTGCTTTTAAATTTGGATAAACAGAAAGTTTCCCTTAGCTGGCTGTTAATCTTTTTTTAGAGCTCGAGGGCTAAATCCTCAAAGGGTGATATAGGTATGCAAATTCAATTCAGACTTGGCTGCCACTGAACTGAATGGTATCAAGTTGGAATCTTATTTTTCTTTCTTTTTTGTTTAGATATTGAAGAAGGATAAAAAGCTCCTTAAAGGTTTGGAAGGTTGCATGTGATCAGCATGAAGAGCTTAAAAGCAAAGTTCAGGAAGAGTGACGTAAGTATTTCTGCTCAGTTTGACTGCTGGTTTCCATGCTGGAAACAAATTCTTCACTCCCACCTTGATAAGGTTGTAGGTTAATGAATTACAGAAAAGAAAAGTTTTTTCCAAGCAACAGCTGAGTATGGTATGGAGTAGGCTGTTTCTATTTGGAGTGCAATTGTCTGTTATGCAAATTAATAGCATTTCACTACCTTGCTTTCCATGACTGAATCATGCTCATGTGTGGCGTCTGCAGAACTTCCATTAGATTGTGCTGGTGCCCAGACTGAAACTTTGTTCCAGGTGTAGGGTTAAGCCTAGTAAGGATTTTACTACCCAATCATATTTCTGTCTAAGCATAATACCATTCTTATCAGTGTGGTGTTTGAGCACTTAACAAAAGGTCTCCTCAGTCTGCGATAGGATTGCTTTGTCAGTAAGAACACAGGAACCAGCTGTGCAATTACGGCAGCTGTGGCTTATCAATTCTAGTGTGAGAGGAGAGGTGAATATAAGGCTTGAGCAGTAAGGATGATGGACATAAATATGGAGTCCCTACAGGAGACTCTTCAGAGAGGCATTAGGCTGCATGTCATACATTGCCTCTTGCTAGCAGTAGTAGTATAAGTGGAGACCGAGGCTTGAACTTGTATAGTAAGCATACTTCCCTTGAAGCAGCAGAACTGTTGTAGTGTTGTCCTGTTCTTGTCTTTCTTTTTGTACTACTGATTGCAGCTTTTTGTCATGCATTCATTTTAATGCTTATTCGATAGTACAGTGAGCAGTCAGTGAAATAGGTGACTTTGTGTTTAACTGACTTTCCAGATTTCCGGTGTGGAATTCGTGACAAATCTCCATGATCTGTATGTTCCACCCTTCATTCTGAATTTTTGCCCTGTTTTGAAAGAAGTGGTATGTTGTTGTTTGTCATGGACAGATTTGTGCCAGGTCCCGGAGCAGCAATATTTGGTGAAGATGATTTAGGTTTGAAAATGGAGCTTCTTCAGAAGTTTTGATGTTTGGGAGTAAAATAACACGCTGCATTCAGGAATAGTACAGGCTATGCTTTCTTGATCTCATGGCACATCATTAGAATGGTGTCTTTAGCTGGCTTGTAATGCACTTCAGTAGCTGTGAAGTAGGTAGAGATGCTGTTATGGTGTAATCTGCAGATGTGCTGGTTACTGCTTAGAAAGTCTTTTGAGCTACAGGTTTAACATTTGGTGCAGCTGCTGTATTGGCTTCCTAGCAACAGCACTGGTAGATGCCCCTTGGGTTTAGCAAGAGCTTGTGAAAAAGACTACCTCTACAAATGAGGTATAATTGTATATTATTGCCATAATAGAAATATGTCAACCAACCTTTGGGAACAAAGGGAAACTTTTTAAAATATTTAAGCAGTGTTTGGCTTTTGCTAGTCACCAGGCTGAATCAGCGAGTGGCACAGTGTCTTGTGCTGCTTCAAACAAATAAAAATAATGTCATAAGGCGCTGGTGTCTCATCTAACTGAATATGCCATTCAGTTTAGAACTGCTAGAATTTGGGGATCAGATATTGTTGCTCCTCTTGCAGCAAATAGCAGAAATTGCTATTTTGAGTTCACCTACACCAGTAAAACTTTTTATAGGCATCTGCTTGGGTAATGAGAACAGTCCCTTGGCTATATGAACACACTTGCTATTATGGAAGTTAGGTGTGCCTGTATGTTAGGATGACTTCATTCACACTTTTATGCCTGTTGGCTGGACTGCTGCTCTAGAGCAAAGGCTAAGTGACAAGAGTGATGCAACTAGATCTTGCTGTAGCTAGTCCACCCACTGTTATAAATTGCACTGGTTCACTTATTCTGTGCTTATCTATCCTTGATAACTCGCTCACGCCTCTCCCCCAAACCAAGTGGAGTCTGAAAGTAATTGCTGTTTTGATACTACTGCTGTCTACTGGCTGGAGACAAAGTTGACCACAAAGAATTTTTCAGATACCTAAAATTTAGATATGCAGCTCTAAGAGCACAGCAGTCTAAATCCATGACAGTCTGGTTTCCTCTGTTTTGAAGCCAAACCTTAAGGGCATAATTCAAAACAGCCAACAGGAGCTGTTCTATATTTTGTGCAGGATAAGCAAGCAAAATTATCCTTCTCTTTAGTTTCCAGAAGCTACCATTAGCTATAATTTGTGAGGAGGGGGAAGAGGAGGTTGTTTTAATTGGAATTAGTCTTATTTGTATCTCAATTTCTAAGATGTGGTGACTGCTTTTGAATTGGGGATAAGGGTAGAGTCAGTAAGGATGGAAGGGCTCATCCCACCTTCATTGTATTTCTTTCTGGAGGAAGTCTTTAATGTCTTATTTTATAGAACTGAAGATGTCTTGGGCTGAAGAATGATACCCTTCTCTTTAGCCTCACTGTTAGCATAAAAAACCAGGAAGAGGTGGAGGAGTAGGAATAAGTCTTCAAGGTGTATGTGAGAAACAGGAATTACACAAACACTTCTTCAGTAGTAAGGCTGATAACATAAAACCATATGCTGGAATGAAGACTGTAGGAAACTTCACTGGTGTATTAAACCTCTCTAGGCTGTTCTGGAGTGGCTGAATTGAAAGTAGGCACAACTGCTGATATTTGTGTATATGTCTCTGTCCTTGCTGCAGGGCTTCTCTTTCGTGCTGTGGCTACACCAGTCTTACAGCTTGCAAAGCTTCATCTCTGTCCTTCTGGTTTTAAGGGTATCTGACCCTGCAGTGAGCCAATTCAGGGATATAAAATGATGGAAGATCACCCTCTGTGGGGTGAGTTTTAGCTGATTAACTCACTGCTCTGTCTCACTGTAGGGTCAACCCTGAGATGAATGGTGGAAGTAGGAGGAGCAGGAGGACATCCCTTTCTGCAGATGTTTCTTGGCTTAGCTGCACTGTCAAATCACACCCTGAATTTATTGACCTAAAAAGCACAGGGATGGGCACACCAGCAAAATTGTTGCAGGATCACACAAGTTAATAAGACTCCTAATTCTGATATTTAGCAGAACTGATATAGTCCACAGCTGAGAGATGGAAGTATAACTCTCCTTAGATGGGAGAGTGACTCCTCACTTCATGCTTTTGCTGCTCAGCTCCCCTGTACCTCACTTGATTCACTCTCCGTGTTCACAAGCAGCTCCATTAACTGGAGAATCTTTTTTCCTTGACATACTTAACTGCTGTGAAATCCTTCCTGAGGGTGACTGTTGCCATGTGAACATGTATATTTGGTGTGGAGGAATGAGATTTATCGCTCTGTCATAAATGAGTATTGTCAAAGAGTGATGTGTAGTTACAGGAGGATCCTTGTAGACCATAAATCTGTGAACAGGATGCCTAGGTGGGAACAAATGCTGAGATTGGAAGTTAAGTAGTGGATGTGCACTCTTCAAGAGTCTGTAGACAAAGCAAGAGAAATTTGAGCTTAGGTCTTGACAAACACTAGTCTCTTGCTGTATTTTCTCCCTTTTTCTTCACCTCTTGTTCCTCGTTATCAAACTCAAAACCTATTACTAGTAACATCTAGAAGCTGACAGCCTAAAAGGATGACAGTTTTAGTTGTTGCAAGAGACTATTACATGTAACACTTGAAAGAGTTGGTGTGGTAGTATCAGAAGCTATCACTTCAGAGCTTGAATTTGTTTATAGACTGTCTGTAGTTTCTTCACATGATAGAGAATGAACATATCCACCCAGTAAGACAGAAGTTCTTCACTGTTTCTGCTTAGTAAAGCAGAGTTTGAAATAATCCAATTAAAACAAAAACAGTGCTACTCATGTCTGATTAGGTTTCTTATTAATATTTGAGACTGGACTGTTTTTTGTAATAACTAATCAGTTTGTGGCCTGACTTCAAAAACATCTAGAATCTTAGGCAGATGAGGGCTGAGTGCATTTTCAAATGTGCAGAGATACTAAACCTGTCTAAACATGTTTTGTCTGCTTCTTAAATATGACAAGATACTCATCAACATTTTTAGGCACCTACACACATTTAAATATCTAGCTCTTTGATACTAAGATGTTGTAGGAACGTAGGTGATGTTTAGGTAGATTTGGTTTTAACTCTGTTCTTGATTACTCTAGAAAAGGCATAATGTGTCAAGGCTGTGATGGGTTGGATTGTTTCAACTCCCTGACTTATACCTGTAGGAGAAAACTGAAAAGTTTTAGAACTAATTTCTGCGAGTACTGAAGATCAGCTGAAAAACACATCTTGCAGTTTGACAATGGACAAATTTTATTTTAATTGTTAGCTTGTTGACTGGACAAGGTGAAGATTAGAATTGATATTTGCATCGAAATATCTTCAGTACTGAATATTAGAAAACTAGAGTGTCTTTTAAAATTGAGAATTGACTGTGCAGTTCAGCCGCAAAAGTAACTATTGTCAGAAGCAGAGCCAAGACAGGCTGGGATTTCCCAATGCTAATTGCCAGCTCTAACTTCTGGTATTTCTGGAAATGCCTATTTGTTGTACGGTCATGCGGGGGTTGAAAAGTTTGCAGTTCTTGTGAAAATTCTGCTTTTTGGCATGTGGTGTACTCATTGTTCTATAAATCTTAAAATGATGAGGCAGTTAGGTATGTTGTAGTATAAAAATTCTCAGTCTTAATCTAGACACTGTTAAGGCTTGGCACTACTTTTTAATGCCCGGTGTTCTAGGTAGGCTCTCATTCAACAGTTTTTAAAGTATGAAAATCTACATGGGGGTCTGGAACAGAAAGATTGCTGGGACACATTCCATTGAAATCACTGTGTTCCCATGTGCTCTGGACTGAATGTGTGGGAGAACAAAACTTGGGTGGGGCAACTTTAAAAATAATAAAGCAAGATCTCCTTTAAACAGCCCTTAAATTCTTTTATCCACTGAAATCTACAATTAACCTTAAAAGGAGCATGGGGTTGTTGAAAATTGCGCTATCCACTCAGTGTACATGTACTACTTTCAGGGTGATTGTGACAAAAAAACCCACATAGAGAGTTCACTCTGGC